AGAATGTTATGGGAATGTAAAGTTCACCATAGGGAATATAGTCAATAATATTTGTAATAACTATGTATTGTGTCAGATGGGTACTGGATTTATTAAAGTGATCACTTTGTAAGTTACATAAATGTCTAGTCACTGAGTTGTACTGCTGAAACTAATATAACATTGCATGTCAACTGTAATTTTAAAAGAAAAAGAAAAGAAATGAGGACTATTTTCTTTTTCTCCTTTCAGCCTTTCTTACTGCCTTCATTTTAGTGCAATGTGCCATTAGGAAAAGGCCATCTAGGAGGCTTCCAAGAGACATTTCTTTTCCAAACAGGCACTGTGGTATTGCTTACCTTGCTTTCTTCCTACTTTACTCTTTCCTCGCTTAGTTCTCAGGAAGTGTTTTTATTTCTTTTCTTTAAATTACAAGGCTCCATCTACCTCATAACCACAACAAAAAGAGACTCTGGGGAAACATGAACATTGTCTTCAAGTATCTGAAAAGTTGGCATAAGGAAGAGTGATTACACAAATTGTGTGTGGTCCTTGAGAGGTGAAGTAAGGCCACAGGCATGAAGTCACTGGAAAGCAAGTTTTGGCTCAGTGCAGAGCTGAACCATCTCAAATATGCAGTAGAGCAGGCAGCTTTGGTATGCCAACTCCTCTCCCTGGAGAGCTGCTAGCTGAGGCTGAGAAACCTCTTGGAAATGGAACACCTTCATTGGGTCAGGAGATGGCATAATTGAAAGTCAAGGAACTCCTAAATTCAGGAATTCTCCTTTGATTTTCCCATTGAGTCCTGCTACCTGCAGCCCTCAGCAGTTGGCAGTAACAGAGTAATCTCTGTCTCCATTTAAAATGATGTCACCATAGACTTTTCCATGTACTGTTTGCCTTTTCCTAGTGGTGAAGCTTCTGTTCCTTCCCCAGAACTGGAAGCTGCTATCTAGAGAGATTTTTCCAGCTGGTCCTTGTACATTAGTTCATGGACTCCAGCAGGGATAACCTTCGAGAGCTGCTTATAACCATAACAACCTTGACTACAACATGGCATAGTCATTGCTGACCTCCTGGACAGGAAATCATTTGGTTATTTTTTTCAGTTGGGTAATTGTGTTGCAAAGATAGCCTTTGTATTTTGAAATGTGTGAAATTGGATGTGAAGCATCATGGATTGCTTGTGGCTACAACAGAGAGGATGGGATATTGGCATGAAATTAGTATTTGGCTTCGGATTCCTGCCTGGGGGTGGATCAAGCCTCTGAGAGTACTATCCCCAGTAGAAGTTGTTAGCTATGGTAGCACAGCCCAGTGAGCCTGGCTAAATACCCAAAGGACATAGATGATTTTTGTTATGAGTCCATCACAATCTGCCAGCACCTTAGGAGCCAATCTGGTGAGCAATCCAGTGTTCAGAGTTTTTAGTGAAAGTAAGAAGGAGCTGACCATAAGAAGTAACCCTTATTGCCAGGCAGCAAGAACTTAGACATTAAGTAAGGGCTCCAAGCAGGCACCAATCCTGAATGGGGATTGAAACGATAATAGGGTAGCCAATAGGAGATGTGGAGTTGAAATCACGGTTAGACTAAGACACCAAAAACGTGGTAAGGGGCAAGGTGAATATTAGAGATTACATTTGAAACAGGGCTTGTCCTAATGTCACAGGATTTCTTTCATGAGTATGGTTAAGCGGATGTTGGGACTAAGGAGGACCACTGCAGTTCTTCCTGGCTCCCTGCATACTAGATCTGGAAGGAAAACTTTATTCACTCTCCACTGAATGTTGAGGCTGACTGAAGCAGCTGTGCCATTTTCGTATCTTTGTCAGAATTTGAACAGGAACTAGATATTCAGGGATTCACTGGGGAGAACTGACAACTGAAATCCAGGAAAGCAAGGTTGGAGCTGTCTGTGGGGGTCTGGTGAAGACATGGGTCCTTTATGCTTTATGTGTGTTTGGCTTTTGTGTGGTTAAATTCACATTATCATATTTTTATAGCTTAGAAGTTAGAGGAGGAAAATACTGGTGATTTTAGAGAAAAGAGGAAACTTGATGTGAGATATAACTTACCGAAAATGAATAGTCTGTAGTGGCTAAGACAAAGCATCTCCAGAGTGGCATAGTTGTAAGAACTGAAGTTGTTTTGCCTGAGCAAAGTCAGAAGCTACATGGACAGATAACATGAAAAGATCACATAAACTAATATGCATATTCTGGCTCTTACTATGCCAAGGAGCCTGCCTTTTCACATTGGTCACAGTAAAACTAGTTTCCTCAAACCTTAGGCACTCTATCTTCATGGAAAATACCTAGAAAAGCCTGTAACACTAGAGAAATGCACAGGAACTGTGGCTAGTAAACTCTCCATTCAAAACCTCTTTTCTCTCTGTCCCTGGAATGAGACAGCAGCAATTTCCCCTCTTTCTGGCTTTGCTCCTGCTTTTTGGGGCTCAAGGATCACCACCCTCTCTCCCTCCTCCCTGATCATTTCTGTCCATCCTATAGTTTAAACCCCAGTTCAAATGCTAATTCTTCTGCAAAACGTCTTTAACCCCCACACACCTACACTGTTTGATCCTCTAACATTACTGTCTGCATATTTTGTGCCTGCCTGAAATTAATTATTTCCCTGGTGTGTGGATTATTTTCCTTAGTGCAGTTGTAAGCTCCTCTAGAAACAGTGTTGAGTTCTCTTCTTCCAATTTCCCACAGTGTCTCATCCAAAGATGTCCAGGCAACCCCCTCTCCCACTGATGAAGTGGGTGCATGGATGGGCTCACTAGCCCCAGTAGTCAGTCCATCTGTCCCCCAACTAACTAAAGATATCATGCAAGGTTTCTGGTAGCTCATAGGCTTTGAGAACCTGTGGGCCCAGAAGTTCACGTGTGTGTTAGGCTTGGGCTGCAGAAAGAAAGACAGCAGTGGTATCAAAAGTTTGAAGATGTATATAATCTGCATCATTTTTCTCTTTGTTGCATCCAATCTAGCAATGTTATTGCATGGAACTCTCTCCTTTCTGGAAGTTAGGTAACCCCCTTTTGAGAGATGTAGGGACTCTGGCTCAGAGAGGCCAAAGGTGGTATGGGCCACAGTTAAGAGGCTGGTGGAGGCCAAGACCATGTCTCAGTATGTTCAGCAGTTGAGTTCTGCCTCTGCCTATTTTATCCTCCCACTCTGGCCCTTGTCACAGAGCCTCTGCGCTTCTCCAGTTAGATTTTAGAAAAGTCTTATATTTGACTACTTGTCAACATGCCCTTCATTCCTCACCAAATCTGGAGACTTTTGAGGCCCTTGCAAAGCCAGCGCAGGGCTAGGCATAGAGAAAATGCCTCCTGAATGCTCAGCTGATGTCTCTTGGTGATCTTCCTTTAGAAAGTGCTACAGAGGGAATCAATGATTCCCAATTCTGGGGTGGATCTATGTGGTAGAAGCAACATTTATAAACTCCTTTCAATGTGTTTATTTGTGTGTCTCTGTTCTGTGGGCCACAAAATAAAACAAAGTATATTTTTTCATTTTCTATTTTTTTGATCTTTTTCTTTCTTCTTCCTTTCTCATTCTCTCTCTTTTCTTTTTCTTTCTTTTCTTTCTTTTTTTTCTTTCTTTCTTTCTTTCTTTCTTTCTTTCTTTCTTTCTTTCTTTCTTCTTTCTTCTTTCTTGTTGATTGTTAACCATAAAATTTCTCCAAAGCTTAGCTCCCATTCACAAAACCTACCTTTAGTTAGATTTTCTGATTAGCTAGTCTGTGTTAACCTGTCAGCCACTCTCTCCCCACAAGTCAGGATACCCCAGAAAGGTTGCAAGAACTGGCAATCCCTTCCTTGACTGTTCTTTAAACCATAAACAAGAAGATGTGGCCAGGGCAGACATACATGCATGCACACATATACACACATAGTAGAAGTCTGCTTGCTCCTTTGTGGCTGATTGATAATCTTTGATGTCTAGATGATGTTGATGATGATAATAACAATGAATTTCTGCTTATGCCTTAATAAATAGTTGTTGATATTGGGTGGTTCCCTTACTGACTCCTCTAGGAGAAAAAGAATACAGCTCCTGGCTCTCTCCACAACCCCTTCACAATGGAAAGAGGTGGATAGGAACTCTTGAGACTGTGGTTAAAACAAAAACCAGGATTTCTCAGTGATAGCTTACTGCAGAGCAAAATGCACTGGAGTGCCAGGCTCCACACTTCTTGTTTCTAGTCCTGGTGGTTTAGATAATTATCTTTGTGACTTTCCTTATATTCTTTCCATCCCAAACCTCCATTTTTCTACCTGTAAATTAGTTGGTGCAGGGTGGGAGATGGTAAGATAAAAAATATTCTTGAACTGTGAGAGTCTCAGGGCACTGTTGTGTCCCTTCAAGCATCTCTAAAGATGCAGTTCAGTTGCTCTAGTTGTGATTCAGATGTCTCCAGATACCTTCTCAAAGAAGCAGCTTAAACTCCCAAAATAAAAGGCCTTGTGGAAAGCCACAGCCCCCAGCCTCTTTTACACCGCAACTCCAAAGACTGAATTCCATCTTCTTCTTCCTGCAGCAGGAGAGTCTGGGACAACTAATCAATTTGCAAAAGTTTCCCCATCCTAAACCCTTCTTGGGCACCATGGCCAGTCTCTCCACTAACCTGCCGCATCCAGTTCCCAAACTGGTACGCTGTGGGTGTTAGACAAAAGTGCAGTATCCCCCTAAGAGGCTGGATGCAGAATCCTGAGGTCATTGCATGCGTTTTTGAAGCTGATGGCCGGGTGTTGGAAAAAGCAGAGCATTAGCATCATGCTGGGTTCACCCCCATCCGGACAACCTCACTTGGGTTCTCAGATTCTCTGCAGTGCCTCCTCTTGATTCTCCAACTGTCCCCTGCCTCATTGTCCTTGTGCAACCCCCAAATTTGTACAGGCCCTTCCTGGCAACCACTACCCTTTGACAGGCACTCAGCTCGCTGGTACTGAATGAGGCGTCCAGCTTGTCAGTCAGGTCATAGCATAAGGCTGTGTGTCCAGTCGCCACTATGGTCGCTACAGCCCTCTCTCAGTTCCCTGTACCACAGCTCCTAACTGGTATTTTGGGCACTGATGCAGAATTTAAAAAGCAGAATAGGGAAAAAGGGAGGTGAGGAAGGCACATCATGGGGGTTGCTGAAAGAAGATCCCTTAAGTCTGGGTTTCCAGCAGAAGCGAGAGGGAGGAGGGGGAGCCAGGGAAGAGCAGCGAAAGGAGGGGGCCTGAGACTGGCAGCGAAGACTTTGGCAACCCCTTTGGCTCCCCAGCCTGAATGGACAGGGCGGGGGTTCAGCCGCGGCTCTCCATTGGCTCCCTCACGAGCCCCTAGACTTTCTATAAAGGGCGGTTGCAGAAGGCACTGCCCTCACTGGCTCAGAGCACAGCGCCTGCTGGCTTTAGGCAGACCGATTCACCGACTGCTTCAAAGAGACAGAAATTTAGTCGGAACGACCCTCAACTGCGCGAAGGAAGAACGGTGCTGGGCGGGGGGTGGGGGGGGCGCAGGGCGCCGCTGTCCGGAATTCGGAACCTGTACTGTCTGCGCACCCCAAGCTGCGGAACGTTTGGAGCCAGCCGCATTCGCCTGTCCCGCGCTCGACTGACCATCTCAGCTCAGCTCTGCGCACTTTCCCACTCGGAGAGGGTCCAGCGGTTGTCTGTTTGCTTTCCTTCCTGCCTGTCCCCTCCGTGCTGTTCTCCTACCCACCCCCACCCACAACTGCAGGACGCTGAGCAGCATTCGCCCAGCGCTCTGTGGAGACCTACCCCTCCTCTTCCCCCACTCTCCCTGATCCGGTGGCTTAAGGATTTTGAGGATTTCCACAGGCGTCAAGCTGGAGGCCCCGACCACCGAACCGCCCCAAGGGGCTTTCCCGAACCCCAACACCATGAGCTATGGGGACGAGCTGACCCCTGAAGCTCTGAGTGTGCCCAGCGGGTTTGATGATCTGATCACCTCCACCACCTCCCAGGTGCTGCAGGCTATTTCTAATGCCGCAGCCGCGGTTGGTAGCTCAGGCCGCGATAGCGTGCTTTCCATGATCCATAAGCTACCTGACCATATCTCAAACATGGGCAACTTGGCTGACACGTCAGGTCCCATGGCTTCAGAGAGGGTGTCCCAGGACGAGCCGGTACAGTTCTGGCTAGTAATAGGGTACACCATAGTGGTATTTGCTGCCATACTAGGCAATTGGGTCTTAAACCATGTGATTATGAAGTACAAGAAGATGCACACTGCCACCGGCCTCTTTGTCGTCAACATCTCCGTGACCAACATGATGCTGGCTTTTCTCAGCTCTCCCTTCACCATGGTAAGCTGGGTGCTGAGGAGGACAACCCGGGGCTCAGGCCATGAGAGCAGAAACACAACTTTGCACTTGCAACACAGAGAGCTGCGTGGTGGGAAGGAGCGCTGGAGCGGGTACGGTTGATTCGGAAAGTGCGTAGATACAGGAATGGCTGACAGACGTTGTAAAGGGTTTGGAACTGGGCGGGGGGAGCTACAGGCACGATTGTGATTGCGTTGCTGAATTAATCCCCTGCTTGGCAGACGCTGAGAGACTTAGGTGGCTCAGGAAGCAGCGGGGGTGGGGAGAACCTGTTTCAGGTGAGCTTTGTCACAAGCGCTTAGTCTCAGTTTCCCCATATTTTCAAATGCAGTGCTTGGAATGGAAGGTGGCTAACAATTTTTGTAATTTGGGATCTGCGTCTTATATCTGGGCTGTTCCTGTGGCAAAAAAATGGAAAGGTCATGAGGGCTGCAGTGTGAAAATATTTGTTTCCTGAGACAATAATGCCAGCAGTTTGGAGAGGCAATGAAGATCCTCTATCTGTATTTTTGAGCTTGCAAGAAAGAAGTACCCAGGGCTGAGTTCTTGTGCCTCACCATGTCTTTTCTCCCACAGGTGCGTTATCTGTGTAATTCCTTGGTGTTTGGGAAGATGACATGCCACCTCAGTCGTTTTGCTCAGTACTCTTGTGCCTATGTAACTGTGTTGACCATGGCTGCTATTTCCCTGGATCGACATCGGGTATGTGTTTCCCAGGGCTCTTCAGGTCTTATAAAAGGGTAGGTTTCCCTTCTAGATAGATGGAAGAAACTAACAAAACAAATAATTCAAAATGTTCTTTGAGTTCCTTGAGACAATCTTTGTAAATATAATTTTGCCCAGTTTAGGAGGATTGCAAAATGTGAATTATAGATATTAACCATATCACATCTTATGTAATAAAAATACCATCATCTTTGATGTGTTGCTATGGAAACAGAGATGCGGCAATAAGCAAATGATAAAAAAGTGTCCTTCTCCCTTGGAAAACATTTTTTATTTGCTGCATTGCAGAACCAGCCAAGAGAAAAAAGAAACAGAGAAAAGATGAGTCAGAGGAGGGTGTGGCTACAGGGCTGGTGGTGGGTTGAGTCTGGGAGGTGGGCTTGAAGTCTGTGAGTGAGAGCTGAGCAAATGAAGTAAGAATAAATTGAAGATTGAGGCAAAAGGAGTTGGGGAGGACGGATGGAAGTGACTTAAAAGGAAGGAGGTGGTGCCAGAGTGAGTAGCTGGGAGGGACTACATCATTAGTCAGTTGGGAGGGAGCAAGGGAACAAGTGAGGTAGGAGGAACAGAGGGAGATTGAAGGGGTTGTGGCTGGAACCAGATGGAGGGGGCCATGGAGAAACCTAGGTGATAAGAGATGAAGTAAGATGGGAGAGGGCATGGAGGAAGACAGGGAAGGGAGAGGAAGGGAGGGAGGAAATGTTGACCATGGAGAGATCAAGATGGGAGTGGATGGAGCAATAAGGGAAAGGGGCATAAAAGGAACCAAGTAGGAGCAAGGATGGAAGGACATGGAGTGCTCACCTATCAGCATATATTAAAGAAACCATAAGTTACACGTGGACATCCATCCCTCTTCTCCACTGAGCTCCCAACTTGGAGACAGAAACTTTGAAATCAGTCCACTTGGATTCCTATCTTCCCATTGAAATGTTTCTCTCTACACTGGCCAATTTTGCTCTTTCATAAAACAAAATATCACTAATTTGTCAACAGAACTAGTACCCAAACCACATTACTCACCCATCTACAAAGTCTTTGCACTTTTGCAAAAGAATGTCAGTTGAAGAATTAGTAGTAGGTAATCCTAATTTAAATTTTTGAATTGGGCTGGGGTCTTTTCATCCAGGTGATGCTATATCCCCTGAAGTCCCGAATTACTCCAATGCAAGGCAATGTTTGCATCATTCTCATCTGGATTGTGAGCACCTGTGCTGCTTTGCCACATGCCATTTACCAAAAGCGTTACCAAGTGGATAATGGGTAAGAGGAACACAGGATTGCCAGTTTCTGGATTCCAGCAACCCGTGACCTTGGAATCTTCATGCAGTAAGGGGAAATGGAATAGGGGCTGAAATGGCACATTTCAAAACATGGGTACAAAAATAAATTTCTCTTCACTGGAATTTATTAAAAGTACCCAAGAACTCTCATGGAAATAGGTTGTTAGGTATATCACTTTCTGTTTGGGGGGTCAGTGAAACTTAAAGCTCCCTGCTTTATAACTCTAGCCTTCAGTCCTAGCACAGACACAAATAGGCAATAAGGAAGAGACATATTTACTGCCTGCCATATAACACCTGGCTGTGGGGCATAGGGAAAAGAAAAATTAATGTTTCTCTTTCTCTGTCTGTCTTATAATCCAGAAACATAACTGAAGAAAATGTCTGCCTTCCCAGTTTCTCATATACTTCAAAATCCACGTGGAAATACCTTGACCTGAGCACCTTTTTGCTCTTCTTCATTTTGCCATTGATGGTGCTGATGGTTGTCTATGGTCATGTGGCCAAGAAGCTGTGGATCCATAATGCTGTTGATGACATCAACATCCACACCTACATCTGCCAGCGTGGGAAGAAAAAGCAAAGCCTGAAGATGTTGATGATAGTGGTGCTTGTCTACACTGTCTGCTGGCTCCCCCTCAACCTCTACCTGGTGCTGCTATCCAGTGAATCCATTTCAAGCCACAATGGTCTCTACTACTTCCTCCACTGGCTGGCAATTAGCAGTTCCTGCTACAATCCTTACATCTATTGCTGGCTCAGTGATAGTTTCCATATTGAAGTTCAGAAGGTCATCATGGAAATCCAGAAGATGCTGCTGGATGGAATCAGCCGCCTAAGAGGGGAGCACCGCCAACTGAGATCTGTCTCACCCACACACTGCCCTGCTTGGGTGGATCCCAATCCTGGAGTGCCCAAATTCCCACGATTCAAAGATTTCGATGAGCTACCCAGCCCCCCTCCATCCCCAGAGGTGGAAACCTCCTTTCTCTACCCACCAGTGCCTAGAGTTTAAGCTGCCCAGACCGCGATAGATTATCCATCCTCAAAAACTCAGATAGGGTGGAACCAAAATAACTAAGTTTCATTCATTTTTCATGGCAGGGGGAGTGGAGGAAGGGGTTGGAACTTGAGGGATGGGGGCCATGTGAGGAATCATGTGTCCCACTTGCTGTTTCATTTTCTTCTGTCTTTTCTCCTGTTTCCTTCCCAACTCTTCCTTCTCCTAACAGTGAGTAAATATTTGATCTCCAGGCTCATCAGAGATGTTTTTACATGACTCACAGGAAAGTTACACTCTGACTTAGGGTCTCCTGAATTTCATCTCTGATTCTGGAGAGTGTTCCCATCTCCATTCTTTGTGTGCCCACCTGGCCATGGCACTTGTCTTCTGACATCTTAGGCACTATCTCAGGAGCTGCAAGAGCCCCCAGAGATTCTTATTTATATTTTATTTATATGGATAAGAGGTCAATGTCTATATTGCATCCAAAATATTCCCAGAGAAATGACAGAAAAGAAATGTATAGTCCCTGAAATATAATTGGGTTCTCTGGGAACTTCAAGCTCCCTAAAAATGCAAATAGTCTTATCTCCTTATGGCAGAATGAGAATGAGAAAATTTACAGAAAAAGACAAGGCAGTTAAATGGCTCACTCCACATCACCTGGGTTATTTCTCCAGTTTGCAAATACAATAATCTGATGATAACTTTCCTTTAAATACAATGACAATTTAAGTGCCCAAGCTAGTACTGCAAAATCCAAACAATTCTCTCAGTTTCTTGGCCCTACATTTAACATACCTTGTCTCATATAAACTTGTGCTGTCTAGTCTTGCCCTTTTTTTTGAAAAAGTATAATATGTTCACTGTTAATTCATTTCCATCTCTCTAGCCTATGAGGATTTCAACTCAAGAGAGATGAGGAGGAAGTAACTATCTGCCATTGCCTTTCACATGGAAACAATGTTATTAAGGCTCTTTGAAGGGTATAGCTTGTGTGTGTCAGGAAGATGCCAAGATGAGGGTGAGTTTTTTTTCTCTTGATTTCCTCCCTCATACCCTTTTCATCTTCATTTCCCCCCTTCTCCCCCCATCTCCTTTCCCAGGCACCTCTCCTCAAGTTTCTCTGTTCTGCCTTTCTCTTCTTTCTCCTTCTACATATTCCTTCTTTCTTCTCACCCTCTTTCAATATCTCCTTTGTTCCTCTCCATCCTTCCTTCTACCTCTGCCCATCTTGTCTTCTCCCCTCCTGTTCCCTTCCTTTAATTCTTTCCTTTTCTCCTCTTTGCTCATTAACCCTCCTATTCTCCAGCTTCCTCATTCCTCCTGAGTCTCTTCCTTCTTCAGCACCACTCCTCTAATTCTTTCTTCTTTCTTCATTCCTCCTCTATTATGTCTGTTCATCCTTCACTTCTTTTAACTCTGATGCATAGTTTAAACTACTGCTTTCTCATTGAATTTTAGCTATTCCTCAATTCCATCCCATATATTTCTTTTATTTTCTCTTCAGAATTAAGACTTCTCTCACCCTTAGTGGAAGCTTGGGAATCTGGGAAGATGCAGCTTCTGGATTTAAACTTAGAGCAGTCTCTGCCCTGCTCTATAAGTGTTTGTGTGGGATGTGTAATGATCAGAGTGAATGGTGGCCTCTGATTACATTTTTCTCTTTTATATTTCTTTCTCATTTAATTCAAACTATCAGAAGGTGGCTGCCCATTGTGCCTTCTTGGAGGGGATAGGATGGCTTACAGCAAGATTATAGAGGAAATGGTCCAGACATAGGCCATACCCTCTGTGTCTGTTGGGAAGTGAGAACCATTCAGTGGCAACCAAGAACATGACCTAGTTTACTTTGGAGGAATTGTGCCCAGGAGGAAGGTTTCTTCTCTAGCCACTCATGCTTTTGTTTTTTTTTTTTTAAATCCTTTCTATTCTACAGCATTTTAGCTATTGCTCATTCCCCCCTCCTTCAGCCTTTCCCATAATTACACCCCAAAGAAGCAAAATAACTTCTAAAAATTTTCAAATAACTAACAACAACAACAACAAACTTACCACCACAGGATAACCCTGGCAATTCTTAGAAGTCCCAGGACCACCTAACTGGCTTCAGACTTTTACTGCTGCATTTGCTGTGAACTTCATGACTGGCCAAACCCACTGGCTTTAGCAGGTTATCATCATCTCTTCAGAGTGTATGTGTGCTTCTGCTTCCATCTCTTTCTCCTCAATTATCTTCACTTTCTTCTCCTCATCTTAATCATTCACTTTTTACCAAGGACATATCATTCAAAGTTCTTTGAATCCTTGAGTTTCCTCTGGAAAAGGGCAAGTTAGGGGCTTGAAGCACATTAACTGGAGTTTAGCTTCTGGCTAGTCATCCTACCTGGTAACAGCAAAAATTAGTGCTTTTGAAGTCAGAACTCCAGCTGTCTATGGAAACTTTCCATACTTGCAAAAGTGTTGCATTCTATTTTTCAGATCAAGAACAATCTGAGGGTAAAGAGGTGTAGTTTAATCTCTGTTTCTATTTTCACTTTCATGGATGAACCTTTTATCTCCTCTTCCTTCCTACTCTCACCACCAAAACAAAAACCAAAAATACTGAAAAAAACAACAATGAACTATATCCACACAAGTTCATGATTAAATATTTAGAGAAGTCCTGGACTAAGTAGATGACCACATCTGCTAGTGGCATCATTGTAAATTTCACATTCACCTTTCAGCTTCAGCTGTTTTTGAAATTAGTAGTCTTTGTGAGCTCTGCTGGTATCTTTTTCTCCCTCCTTATGTAAACTCTCATTCTTCTAAGGACAGAGTTGTCTTTCTCATTCTCCTTTTGGCAGGATGGATAAATCCCAGGACAATTAGGCTGACTGTCAAAGACTCTGCCTCCACATGAGGAGGGCAGAGCGAAATTGCCCTGAGGTAGCCAGTGCTTCATGAAGGAATTACACCTTGCTATAATATGCTCCTTTACCTGCTTAGACTTAAGAGAAATTCAGATAAAAGAGCTGTCATTGTAATTTAAATGACTACTGTGCTATTGTATGTTCACCTAATGTTCTCTTATTCCCAGGAAAACCCCTCCCTATTCCCACCTTTATCCTCCAAAGAGTTAGACTTCCCCCCCAGTAAGGCTGGAGATCTGGAATGTTCCATGTTTGACAGATGATCCAGCTTCAAAGTTTGCTGCTGCCTTGACTTTACCTACACATCAGCTTTGGTGATGGACAGGCTGCTTGAAGAATTGGGCCTCTCAGTAGTTTGAGTTTTTCTCGGGTTTGCTTAGATTTTTTTCAGCAGCAACTAATCTGAACTCAACATCCAGCTAAGTCTGGGGGTGCTACCAATGTAAGTAGTTTATGACTAGGGGGGCTTATTTGGTTGGAATATGGTGCTAATGAGCACTAGGTCTTAGGCTCTAACCCATGTGCAGCCATTTAGCTTTGTGGGTTTGAGCATGGTGCTAAAGAACTATGGGATTGAGGTTTCAAAACCCCATGTGTGTCTGTTTACAGACTGCACCACTCACCCGGGCCAGCCTTTTTCTGAACATGGGTTATCAGCCATCTGAAAGACCCAACAAAACTGTTCTTTGAATAGCCCTGAAAATTTCATTTTCACTTCTGGAGAAACAGTTTAAAGTGTATTACCTAATGATAGTGTGTTAGCAGTGTCTTCTTCTTATCAGAATGACACCACTTTTGAAATCTATAGTTGGACAAAGAATTACAGCAATGGTGGATGGGAGAAATTGCCAAATTCTCCCCTTTCACACATCCAATGCATATACCAGCCTTTGTCCAATGTCATGAAACTGTATCTTGGTCCAATCTGGAACATTTAAAGAAATGCTTTGATGAGATTAAGATTTACATGCAGCTGATCCAATGTCCCACCTCACTGGGACAGGCTGGACTACAAGAATTTATCCCCTGACACATATCTGGGATGCTGGTAATCAATTTTATATGTTAGTCATTTGTATATGTGTAATGTAGATTCACTTTTAGGTGTTCTGAACTGAAGACCTCTTTCACTGAGGATTCCCTCCCCTCTTGTAGTTATCTTTGTATGCTTTCACATACACACTCACTTGTACATATGCATGCATTTACACATATACACAAACATACATATACACACCTACACCCATGCACATGTGTGAACACACATATGCTCCCACAAATATGAACATACCTACATGCACACACATACATAAAAATGTACACAAAGATTTATTGCATTTTAATAATGCATATTTCAAATCTAAATTTTAAGTTTTAGTCATTCTTTCAGCCAATTATCTATTTAAATAAACGAACTCTAATCTTTTCAATAACTTCACCATTTGTTTGGGTGATTGCATGACTATCTTGTACATTTTTGTAGCTGCTGACCCTAAGTCATTAAAACCTGCAGCACTCATATTTCTGGCCTTATAACATGATAAGCATCCTACTAACAAATACCAATTGGATATTTATTATTCTAAAGAAAATGTACTTAATTGTATGGTTAAAAACACATAAAAACAAACCCTTAAAGGAGTAGGAACTTGAATACACACGAACATAAACAATTTATGCACAGATAAATTACAAAATGTAAACAGAACATACACATATACACAGACACTAAGATATGCACGCAGTTGTAAGAAACCTTTACCATAAAAGAATCTTGCTGATCCAAGAGGATAAATGACTAAGTTATAATTTTATATAATTATTGGGAATTCATAAAGACATTGATATCTGTGGGCTGAGACCCTTGTGAGGATGAACAGAAGGCTAAAATTCATTTGCTTAATTTGTGAGGGATGTTTAAGCTTGGGTGTTAGTTTTGCTACAGGAGAGGTACATGCCTTAATATCAGCAAATGACTACCTACAATCATAATTACAAATTTGGACCATCCACTTCCTACGTTGCCATTGCTGAAGGCTGTTGACATCTCTAGACTATGAGACAGAGCCTCATTGATGGACATGGTTTTCCTCTGGGCCAAGTGAGGAAGGAAAGGAGATGGACCCAGTATAAACAGTTTGAGAGTGGGGGTGAAGTTGTTTATTCTGATAACTCTTGTTCAGAGTTTTCTGTGTCTAGTTGAAACT